GGGAAGACAGTTCTGGGGGTCTGTCTGGTTCTGCAACCTGCAGGGCGAGGGAGACCCATCCTCGACCTCCACCAGGAGTCTAAGTACATGAAATCTGACCATTGTCTCAGACCGGGCATTTTCCCACAGTGAGTTGATAAACGAGCTGGCGTTGGTTAATGTAACCCTGGCTCTCTTCCATTACCATCACACTTATTAGAATACTTTTGCGAGCATCCCGTGGCCTTTGGGTGACCTCCGGCATCGCAACCTTTCTGATCGATTGAAACCATTACCTCTGGAGGGTGGGACAGTTGCCGAATTACAACATTACGGGAAGTCTCGGCTGGTCGCCGCTGATTAGCCCTCGGCAGCTAAGAAGCGGCACTCGAGCAGCTGAGGCCGAAGCTCTGTGTGCCGGCCGCCTGGTCACTGAAGCATTCTTGAGCCCACATTTCGGGCTGAGACCCATGAGAACCGGAAAAAAACGTGTCCTTGCATGTTATCGTTGTAACACAACAATAACGTTGGCTAACGGGAACAATTGAACGACAATGTTGATGTCCCACTTTAAATTCTTTTTTTAAAGAAAACGAACCCGAGTATATGCTTAAAATATAAAGCTACTGAAGAAAACAAAAAGAAACTTGCAGATTCTATAATGGGCAGTTTTAGGAGGCTTTAAATTCCTTCCTGGTAATTATTATTAGTCTGTGGCCATATGACAGAGACCGTGATCTAAGTCCTAAATCCATTACAGCACATTCAATAATGCAAGCATATAAAGTACTCTGTCATCTGTAGTCACTTCAAAGTACATTCAATATCTTGGTTCCCAAGTGCATTAGATTTTATTAAAAGCATTCTGCTGCAGCATCCATTCTTCCTAATTGGTTTACTCCGAGCCCCCGCCACTCGGCCGATCCTAATTGCATTTCCCCGCAAATCTAGTTTGATTTATGTTCCTTATTTGCTCTATATTATTTATAATAAATCGGAGTACAATTCTTCAGACTTTAAATAAAATTTATCGTAGCTCCTCTTCTGCAAACACGCGACTCACATAAGGACGCTCAACAGCACTTTTGCTTTTTTGTGCTTTTTTTGAACATTGTTTAGTCAAGCAATCTCTGTCCGTCTGCTTTCCAGTAAGTGCATCTTTATATTACCTTTCCAGAGATTAATTGTGTTTTACTTGATTTTTATGTATAGACTTCCTGAATTACTTGGAGTATAATAGCAGATTATGTGCATGATGTTAAAAAATGGTAACTTTTTTTGGCTTGAGTGGGTATATGTGTCTCTAAAACAGAAAAGACATCATCAAGGACACGGTGACAGGGAAGCTGCAGAAATGATCTGACCCCTCCACGGCACAGACAGGCCTAACTGAGATGGTTCGGATCAGTTGTACGATGACAACTTTTGAAATTCCAAGAGCTAATTTTTAGTGGATTTACAGCTGTATTTTTAAAAATACAGCATTTAAAAATAAGTAAATGACACAAATGTAAAGAAGATCTGATACACAAGAAAGAATTTTCTCATCACTGGGTCTTACATTGAGTATTTTGTAAAATTAAGACAAGATTTTCCAAAGTTCTGTAGCTATAGAAAACTTCCTCTGGGAGTCCATTCAAATGGAAAGCAGATGTGACCTGTAAGGGACATTTCTAGCTCATTCCTTGAATAGTATGGACCATTACAAAATTGAATTCAGTATAGATTTTTTTAATAAATTTAGCATAAGGGAGTAAAGGAAAAAGAGAGAGTGATTTTAGGATAACACAAACAGAAGGGAAAAAGATGAATCATCTCAAGCAAATTTTAGATCAGTGAAAGAGCTGAGGATGGTTAGCGGTGATGGACAGATAAGAGAACAAGAGAAACCCTAGATTTGGCTGAGTGTTTAAAATTCAGGGACCAGATCTCACATCTTTACTGGATCTGTAAGGAAGCCCCCCACACCCACATGGAGACCCCCAGGGTAGCTTGAACTTGTCCCAGGCAGCAGCCATGGGAGGTTCCTCTCCCTCCCGACCGTGGTGGTACCAGAAGATGTGTAGAGGCGAGAGAGGAACTTTACCCTCACTCTGGTGATGGGACCATCCCTCTGTGTAAGAGCTGTGGGAGCAGCTGAGGGGGGCGGCTGTCGGTGGGCGGCTGGTGCTGAAATGCCCCCTTTCCACAGCCCCTTCCACTCCAGCCAGAAGAAGCCAGGAAGATGCCCAGACTTGGTTAGAGTTCCTGTAGAGGCACAGACTCTCCTCTGGGCAGGAGACTGAGGCAGGGGATGAAGCACGCAGGGCCAGAGTCTCCTAGAACACCAGGATCCAGATATCCATGGAAAACCCACGGTCACCTCAGGAATCAAGAAGACAGGCAAGCAGGATTGGGAAAAGGCAGTCACAGTCACCTTTTGGCCCCTGGCCACCCGCTGCCCTTTGTCCCCATGGGTCCAGGTCCCTCCAGATCCTACAGATGCGCTGTCCAGCCTCTGTCTTTATCTCCCCCAAGTCTCTCACTTAGCAAAATGCCCTTCGGCTTTATCCACAGTGTTGCCAATAGCAAGACTTCCTTCACTTTCATGATTAAGCAACATCCCACCATGTGTATCTGTTATGTGACGCTTTTAGTTGATGCACTGAAAAGTTGATTTTACAAGCCGAGGCCTCTGCGGGCCACTGTGGGGGGTCCCACACGACACCAGCACCTGCGTGCAGGCACATCTGTGTAGAGATCATTATGACATTCTAGGAATATGTGTGTGCTGAAGGGAGCAAGCTTCATATAGATTATGTCCTCCCACTCTTGAGTGTATGTGTGTGTGTGTGTGTGTGTGTGTGTGTGTGTATGCAGGGGGAGGCAATGAGGGTGTTAAAATAATGGCATAAAAGTAAATTACTGTAACTTTTTATTTATTTATTTATTTATTTATTTATTTTTAGTTTTTTGAGCCACACCCTGCAGTGCTTGGGGTTTTCTCCTGGCTCTGCCCTCAGGAATCGTTTCTGCTTTCAGGGGCATCAAATAAGATGTCGGGGCTCAAACCCAATCGGCTACGTGCAAAGCAAGCATCCTTTCACTGTACTGTCTCTCTAGCCCCTAATGTAACTTTTGGACAAAATTCACAGTTGTCAGTTCTTTGTCCATCCCTAGATGTATTATTGCCCGTCAGCTGCTCTAGACCCACTGTCCTGCCACCCTTTTCCATGCTGATGTAGGAGACAAGCTCTCCCTGGGGACAGCTCAGGGCCTGCCTGTTGCCTGGTTCCTAACAGTGGAATGAGTCTGGCTGAGAAGGGTGACTGCTAAAAATTCTAATACCAAAATGGATTTCAAATCGTCAATGGACAAGAGGAAATCTTCCCCAATGCCTCGAGTCCCCTCAGTTACTTAAGAACAGGTGCTGGGAATACTGTGCCACGTGGTCAAGAATACTCTTAACTGGAATGAATGCCTCTGTGCTACCTTGCTCTTCAACTGCACTTCTGCATTTTATCATCCTGAAATTTATTTTTAATATTTAACTCAGTATCTAATGTTAGCCATTATACATATATATGTTAGATCAGATGTGTTTGTTACTTTCTATCTCTTGCATGGTATATTTTATGTATTTCTTTGTTAAAATTAGTTTTGTGCAAATCACGATCATGATCATCCTGTTGTTTGTCGGTTGCAGTAACATCTCCTTCGTCCTAGCCCTGAGATTTTAAAGTGCCATATTCATGGCCCTTTTAGGGTTAGGAGAATGAGACCCATCATTGTGACTGGTATTTGGCATATTGGGTACACCACAGAAAGTTTGCCAGACTCTGCCGTGTGGGCAGGTTACATTCGGTAGCCTGCCAGGTTGTCCAAAGGAAAAAAATAAGCTTCCGGGAGCTGGGTTTTACAGTCTCTGCGTCTTGGCCGTTGATGGGACCAACCTGGTGCTGGCGGCAGCTGGTGGGTGTGACGCCTACCTACTGGAAGATGGGGGGTCTGGGTGGAGAAGGCCCAGACCCAATCCGGGCAGGCTTGGAGATCTCAGCCCCAGGACCCGCATGCCAGGTGCAAATATTTGTGCAAATATTAAACATAAATATGTCACTGTTACTTAAAGTATGCAGATTTCACATAGATTATTTGATGTCTTGTCCAAATTAAGACTTAACAACATAATCTTGATCTCCTTGCATAAATGGCTAGTATTTATCTTCTTCTCACAAGCGGCAAAGGCATGTATTTACACTATATGGAAGAAGCCACACAGGATTAGGAGTTGAATTCACTAATTAATTCACTAACCACTTTTGATTTTGTGACCTAACTTACATAAGCATCTGTGAACTTTGCACATTTATTTAAAAATATACTCAATGTTAGTGGCTACATAAGAAGTTTTTATTGTTTGGATTAAAATCCTCAGTTTGGGGACTGGAAGTTTCTCTGGTAGTCTCTTCGAATGCTGCCTGTACCATATTATCAAAAGAGGTCATCCATTCACAGAGTGGAGCGCCCTTTTTTTCCTTTTCAACTTCTTAATTGTACCATTACTTAATTTTATATTACGCTTTTAGGGTTCTGTTATTGATATTCATGACATGAAAGCATATCTTGACATTTTATGTAGAAAGATTGCAGAAAAATAGTCTAGATTCATTGCTTTAGTATTCCACAAAGCATATCTGACTTGAGATTAGAATTTGCAATTATTAGGAAATCTTGAAAGTTCTTGACACTCTGAACTTTGAGACCTCTGTCCAGTATCTCTCTTAAACAAAATGCCAGTCTTTGCTTTATTATGGAGAGATTATTTTTAAGTGACACTTTCCTCGGACTGTTTCCCAAAGGGACTTGCAGTAAGAGAGACAGTTTATCGTGATTATAAGATGCTTTTCTTTGGCAAACTTTTGCATTCGCGGGGATTTGGCTCCGGTTATTGGCTCTCTGTCTTTGTCTTTGCGAGTTTTCCTCCTTCTGGGGCAAGCACCTGTCAAGGCTGACCTTCTGTTGATCTACTTGTGTTTTTCAAGGTGAGAGGCCCCCCGGCTGCAGGGGCGTTTAAAGAAAGACCCACCAAGCCCACTGCCTTCCGAAAATTTTACGAGCGTGGAGACTTCCCCATCGCCCTGGAGCACGATTCCAAGGGCAACAAGATCGCCTGGAAGGTAAGTGCAGGGCGCAGGGCCCAAGTGGTACCTCCCCACGCGGAGAAGGTGATGGGCCGTGGTCAGAGGGAGGCCGTGGCCGCTGGGCCCAGGTCACTGCCCACTCGGAATGGCACAGGAATGGCACAGATTGGCACCGGGCTGGTAGCAAGGCAGCTGGCTTCTAAGAAAGTGTGTCTGCCTGCTGCCTACTGCCCCGGGCCCTGCCTCGACTTCTGCCCAGGCTGCCTATGAGATCAGAGGGTTTGCACGGACAGGGTTTGTCACAGGAAGGCGGCGTGGGGGTAGGGGTGGAGAGCGGGGGGAATGAACACTGATTCGCTCTCCTGCTCCTGCTCCTTAATTATTTTTGCTATCAATGGCTTCACTTTGGGGGATATTTATCAGCTAAAAGGGTCTCTCGCCTGGAGCCGCAGGAGCAGTTCACTGTGAGGGAGGCTGGCTCGTGAGTCGAAAGAACATAAAAGGTTTGACCACAGAGCAATTCAATTACGCGATTGATCCATTTAACTTAAAAGTCCCATGGCGCTGTCTGAAGGAGAAGGAGGGAAGCGATTGTAATGAGCGACAAATAAATTCATGGTTCCCGAAAAAAAAAAATTAAAAGATGATCAATTTGAAAAGTTCATCAAAGTATATCGCTTACACGGATTCCTTAAAATGGAGACTTTTCTTCCTCTAGAAAAAAACCTAAATTTTATTTTTTTTCAAGAGCATCTTTACATATATCATAAAATTATCAGATGGTTCTGCGTCAGGAAAGGATATTCTGTTGTTGAACCCAATGGTTATTACCCTTTTTTTTTTTTGGCATGAGAGACTTGCAGGATCCCCTCTAATTAAATGTTGTGCATTTGTTTGAAGAGGGTAAGAGGTCTTTTTATATAGTGTATTATTTGCATCTTGAGAAAGCGGTGAGGAAAAAATCCTACTAACTTCAACAGTTTACGTGGCTTTAACATAACTGGTGCTTTCCGAACTTCACTGTGGTACTTTCTTTTGTTTTTTAATTTTTTTTTTAATTTTTATTAGTGAGACACCATGAGGTACAGTTGCAGACTTACACTTTTTTGTGCTTGGGTTTCAATTATACAAGGATCAAATACCCATCCCTCCACCAGTGCCCATTTCCCACCATTCTTAGCTTGATTTGAGCCTTCTGGGCCTTGCTCCACGTGCCAGTTCTTCCAAGCTACCTAGTGGAGAGTCTTAAAAACCTGGTCTCTTTGAGTACTCTGCCATACAATTTCATAAAATGTGAGTGATTTGATTTCTCATGACCCTGAAAGAGCCTCGAGTGTATTACTTTTTAAAATCTCAGGGCTAGGACGAAGGAGACGTTACTGGGGTCTGCTTGAGGCAATCGATGAACAACTGGATGACAGTGATAAAGTGATTTGATGTTTTTATTTACTACACATTTTAAAAGTGTCAATAAGAAGAATTTACAGACCTACTTTAACTGATTCAAATAATCTTATTAGTATTATTTAGAATTATCAAGCGATTAGAACAAAAGTTATCTTGAAAAGAATAAAGATATAGGATAAATTGTTTTGTGCTCTTTGATAGTCCAACAGCCAGCCGGGATATACAGTGCTTTTATTTTTTATAGCTCTATTAATTCTTTTAAAGTCCTATTGACTGTGGTACTGAGTCAGCAAGCTAAAAAGCCAGAAGAAAGCGGAAGCAATTTATTCGCTGTCATTGGCAGGCTAATAGCAGACACGTGAAGAAACATCTTCTCCTCGAGCCTATATAGACTTCTATCAGTCAAAGCTTTGCTCTCCGCATCTCAATGGCAATGTGCTATTGAGAGGGGAAAAAAAGCACTCAAAGCGTCACATGTAAGCTATATTGGGACCAGTATCCCAATATAGCTCTGTTTATTTCTGGGGACATGTGCCTTGGGGACTTCTTGAGAATGTCATCCCGAAGGAAGGGGCCTGGAACAGCCTGAGTTCCTCCCCTGCTAGAAATTCACCAAACGCAACCAGGGACGGTACCCAAGCAGGAGGACATCTGCCTTGCCTGCCGTGGCTCTGAAGGCCAGATGCAGCCGGTTCCACGGGGACTCCCGGTGCAAGGGGGCTGTGAGGGCTGAGTGTGTGTGTGGTGCCATGCTAAGAAGACCTGTTTCACATGTAAGATAGTGACATGTTCTAGAAAGACCGAGGGGTGTGCAGAGTCCCAGCCTTCAAGTGACCCGTCAAAGTCGAAGTATAAAGACGGCTGGAGGGGCTGGATCGATAGCACAGCAGGTAGGGCGTTTGCCTTGCACGCGGCCAACCCAGGTTCGATTCCCAGCATCCCATATGGTCCCGCGGGCACTGCCAGGAGTGATTTCTGAGTGCAGAGCCAGGAGTAACCCCTATGCATCGCCGGAGTGACCCCCCCCCCCAAAAAAAAAGCAAGAAAAAAAAGACGGCTGGAGGCAGAAAATATCTTCCCAGGTTAGGGTTCCCACTCCCATGCCCAGAGACAAGGCCCTTTGGGTGCTGGTATCAAGGCCACCCAGGGCCCGAGTGGTGGGACCCTCTGCGGGGATAAGTGGGCCTGCCTCTGCACCCGCTGACACCATGCAGCAGAGATCATCTGCCCCCCAGCTCCAGACAGGCCTGGAGAGACGGGACAGACTATGCTTTTGGTGCTGGTGGTTTGGGCCCACACCCTGCAGTGTCAGGGCTGACTCCCTGCTCTGTGCCAAAGGATCACTTCTGGTGGGTGTGGGGGACCCAGTGAGTGCCAGAATCAGGACCGGTTGGGTGCATACTAGGCCAAGCTGTGCCCGCCGTCCTATCGCTCCAGCCCAGAGCAGCTGCATTCTCGATTTTGAGTTAGAATTCATTTAAATGGCCACATGGTTACTGTATTAGATGGCGTGACTCTAGGTTAAGATAACAGCAGTCAAAATCCCCGAATCTTTAGACCAGATGGAAGGCTGTAGCGATTTAAGAATTGTCCTTAAATGTTATACCATATAGATATATAGAGTCATGGCTTCTGTGCTTACATAATGGTACTAAGTGGGGGAAAATTATATAAAATGAAAAGTTTTGTGGTGGGATTTCCTTTGTACTTGACAGTCTCAATTGAATCATTTCTGAGCAATGAATAGGTATGACCTAGACTATGAATAGGTATAAAATCTACCAAATATGCTCTTTTATTTATTTAATTTTTATTAATGAAACACCATGAGGTACAGTTGTAGACTTACAAATTTTTGTGCTTGGGTTTCGTTATACAACGATCAGGTACCCATCCCTCCAGCAGTGCCCATTCTCCACCACCACTGATCCCAGTATCCCTCCCACCCCCATCCCCCATCCCACCCTGCCTCTGTGGCAGGGCACTCCCTTTTGTTCTCTCTCTCCTTTGGGGTGCTGAGGTTTGCAAAAGAGGCAATGGGTGGCAACATGTTCGGTCTATAGTCTACTTTCAGGATGCTTCTCCCATCCTGGGAGGATCCTCCCAGCACCCTTTACTTGGTGCTCCCTTCTCTATCTGAGCTGCCTTTACCCCTAGCATATGATGCTGGCCTCCAAGCCATGGAGCAAACCTCCTGGTACTTATCTCGACTATTCTTGGGTGTTAGTCTCCTGTTTTGTTACTTTATATTCCACAGATGAATGCAATCTTTCTGTCTGTCCCTCTCTTTCTGACTCATTTCACTTAGCATGATACTTTCCCTGTAGAACCACTTGTATGTAAATTTGACTTCAAATTTCATGACTTCATGACTTCATCTTTTCTAACAGCTGCAGAGTATTCCATTGTGTAGATTTACCAAGTTTCTTTAACCAGTCATCTGTTCTCGGGCACTGGGTTTTTTTTTCCAGATATTGGCTACTGTTTTTCCAGATATTGGCTAGTCTGAACAGTGCAGCAATGACCAAATATGCTCTTGTAAATGTTTAAGTAAAACACTTTGTTTTGACTTGCGGCCACACTTGGTGGCACTCAAGGAACCATGTGTGATGCCGGGAATAGAATCAGGAATTTAACTTCTTTAAATTGGCTAGAGTATGATCATCAATGGTTAAAAGCCATAATGATGCCTGGAACCCATGTGAGTTGGCTTCCTTTCTGCATTTCTCTTGGTGACGCCAGCAGTCAGGAAGGCCGATTCTTGTCGTGTGGCTGTTTTCCTGTCAGTATCCCCAGTGAAAAGAGCTGCCTGTTCTGGAGAAATGACACCAACCATCCACAGGACCAACGGACCTCTTGAAATTGTCTTTGAATTCTCACATCTTAAATTTGTGATCTTCAGTGGCCTGAGCTTCCGTAATGGAATCACGACCTTTCCCCATGGTGCTGATGAGGGTAGGGTGGGCTCTGCCCAAACCTCCTTGGCCCGCTGTTCTCGGGGCGGCGGGGGAGGCAGAGGGTGAGAGTTACCTGAAGACGCTCCGAACTCGGTCTTCCCTTCCACAGCTTGGGAGCTTCACCTTTCGACTTGGTTCTAGCACTTGCCAAGTGCTAAGATGGTGTCTGGTGAGCATAGGTGCCCAGAGACATAAACCTGGACTTGAGGCTGGCAAGACACAGCACATGGGTTAAGGCACTTGCCTTGTATGTGCCCAACCCCAGGCTGATTGGCAGGACCACAGAGTGTTTCACCTGAGCTCTGCCAGGACTGATTCATGAGCACGGAGCCAGGACTGAGCCCTGAATACCATCGAGTGTGGACCAGAACGCCAAGCTTCCCACTCCAAATATCACAGGAGCCAGTTACCATAAATTTATATATATATATATATATATATATATATATATATATATATATCACAGGGGCTGGAGCGATTACACAGCGGTAGGGCGTTTGCCTTGCACGCAGCCAACATGGCCGAACCGAGTTCGATTCCTCTGCCCCTCTCGGAGAGCCCGGCAAGCTACCAAGAGTATCTTGTGCACGGCAGAGCCTGGCAAGCTCCCCATGATGTATTCGATATGCCAAACACAGTAACAACAAAGTCTCTAGTGGAGACGTTACTGGG